TCCACTTCTTTCCAGGTGCCCAATACTCCCCTTTTTGTCTTGCCCCACCCCCTTCCTTTCCCCTATAAGACTCCTTTCCTTCCCTTTTTCATCCCCACCCCACCCAGCACCCTCTAAACCCCTAGTCTTCCCACAACTATTCCTTTGCAACCGCTGGACCTCTACAGAGGACAAAGACATGATGTCAAATCTGTTCTTGTGTGTCTTCCTGTTAGTACATCCCTATCATTTCAAAGTGAATGTGAGTAACACTGGGCCTGAACAGGCTAAGGTTCCTTTGCATTGGGCTATTACACTCTGTTGTTCTCATAACAATGCTGTGGGGGGTCATGGGTGGTATCTCAGCCCTCCTTTCTGGCCAAGGTGAGGTCCTCATGTAGCTCTCCTGACCAGACCACAGAGGTCTAGTCTCAAGTGTCCACATCAAGTTTAGCTTAGTCCCAACACATCAAGATTGACAGGATGGAAAATAGCAACTTTAGAGCATCAAAAAATAATGATTTTTAGATATAATAAAAGTCATTGAATCGAATGATTTAACAATGTGATTATATGTCAGTAAAGTTGTTTTGAAAAATATAAGAAGAGACTTGGTTTTAACAGGAGTCCCACTTGGGGTGCATTTCAAACAGTTTTAAATATCCGTTTGCTTCTAAAGTTGGCCTTCTTTTAAGCTTGCATGTGTCAGAATGTGCTGTTTACTGAATGAGATAGTAACAAAAATAAGTAATTATCTTGATTCACCACCAGGAATGGTAAATTTTGAATTCTCACATAAGTAGGAAGTTCTTTTAAATATTGGTATGCTTCCTCCAAAATAAGGAAGCATCTCACTAGCTAAGATTCCGTATTTTTGTCTAAAGAGGGCCTTCTTTTAACATTACATGTGTCAAAATGTATCGTTTATTGAATGGGATAGTAACAAAAATAAATTATTATCTTGATTCTCCTCCAATAATGGTTGATTATGAGTCCTTACATATGTAGGAAGTTATTTTTCGCTTTTTTATTTTTAATCTGATGATTTCATTATGTGGAATTACTTAACTATTATACTCATTGGTTTACTGTTTTAGACATCTTATTAGGAACTGTGGATATTTCATCTTAGTATGTTTTCACGCAGAATTTAATTTTCTTTCTCCCTCTTGTAGAAAAATCCTCAAGAAAATAAAGATAAGAGTTTAGCCTTTTTTGATATTTAAAGTCCAAGTATTTCATCTGGGTCCTAATCCAAGTGGGAGTATATAGTAAATATCAGCATATATGTTATGAAACTGAGATAGGTTGGTTGGTTATTAACTGTGGACAATTTTATTCTTTCTGGTTGAGGTCTAAATGACAACATGGAGGGAATTGCCATCTATTGAGATAAGAGGTCAGGCCAAGAAAGTTTATGGGAGCAAGGAGAAGAAGATCAGTTTAGTTTTGCAAAGATGTGGTTAGGAAGCAATAGTGAAGGGAGTCTGTATTT